AAAATATGATCAGAATATCAACGTGCCTAAACAAATATCTTATATCGTAAGATGCGCTCCCTTTACACAGAGTGCACGTGATCGTGAAATCGAAAGTGAAAGTGAACAGCGTAGTCACATTGAATCAATGAAAGCAGTTGAATCTTCTGTTTATTCAGTTTCAGCGCGAGAGCGCCCTCTGGCCTTTTGATGGAGATTTACTGCTGATCACAGAGCCGTGCTTCACTGAAAGATACGCATGACAATCGCAGCTTCTGTCAAATCGCGATCTCGATTCCATTTCGATTTATCATGCAGCCCTAGCGGGCGGGGACAAACCTTGCAGGAGCGGAACGCACACATTGTCACTGTTTAAGTTCAGAGGTAAGAAGACTGCTATCTAGCGGTCGGGATATAAACTCAAAACGAAACAACGGCCATGAATCTTGTATACATTTTTTTTTTAAATATCGATATTGCGTTTTTGAGAATGATACAGTATCGCCAAACAAAATATCGCGATACTCGCGTGTATCGATATTTTCTTACACCCCTACTGCTCAAGTTGCAGTGGGATAAACTCAAAAAATTGTTTTTCTCCCACATGTAATTATGTAATTGCAACATCAAAAAGACTGAATAATTGTTTGATCAGTGCACAGTTTTGTTTTTCACTAAAAGGCCCAAGCAGGTTATAAAAATGCGCTGTACTTTGCGTCGGGTCGTAAATGATATGGTTGCATATAGGCAATACATGAGACGACTGTTAATTCAGCTACTAAAGTATTGTGTTATTTCACAGGCAAATTTTAAAAACGTAAAAAAAAAGTGCAAGAAAAAATACAATGTTATGAGAAGTTATGAGTTTTATTCTCTAAATATTACTTTAATTTTGTCACACATTTATTCTGAAAATTTTGACTATTTTAATTTAATTTTGACAATTAATCTTCTATTCAATTTTTATTTATGCATTTTTAAATTTTAACATTGAACTTAAGTGCTGTTGTAATATATAAAATATTATATTTGATATTATTAATTTGTTACATTTAATTGCATTTTTATTTATTTACATTTTAATTACATTTTTACATTTTTATTGCTTTTTGTTTTAAAATGGAATTGCGTGTTTTATTCCTCCATTTATTATTTTATTGTTACATTCAACTACATGTTGAATGTAACAATTTATTATTTATTATTTTATTGTTACATTCAACTACATGTTTAAACTTGAAAAACATTTTTTTTTTTGCTCCTTGAAGTGAGACACTGTGAAATCCTTATTTAACCGGGAAAACAGAATGAAATAAAAAGTCATAAAATTAGGCAAAATATTCTATTTTTCATTCTGTTTTTGTTTTTAATTATTTATTTTAACATGCCACTATTGTAATATCATTATATATATTTTAGAAAATATGAATTTATATATTTGTCAATTTTGCGTGTGATTATATGTATAATTTTGCAGTTCTTCGCAAAGTGCAGTGTTTTAAGTAAATTACTTACGAATGTTTTTAAGAGCACAAAAGGTGTATTTTTTTTATTTTTTATTTAGATTTAGTTTGATTGACGTAGATTTCCACAACACATCTTGACCTTTTCTGACACCTAGCTGTTTCACATCAACCATCTGTCTGCTTTTTCTTCTTTTTGAATCACTTGTGAAAGAACCTGTGGAGGTGTTTGCCTGCCATCTGGTTTTATGGCTTTCAGATCAACTGCTTGCATTTGTGGGCTTCAGTGCTTTTTATATCTTATATGATTGATAGAAGGTATGAAATGACTAGATATAAGTATTTGTGCATCATTTCAGGCTTTAAAGTGTGTGTAGTAGGTCACCGCATTGTTGTCATATTTCTTTCTGTAGATGTTGGTTCTGTGGAGGGGCTGGCGTACCACCGAGGATGGGACGTCCTGTACTGGACGAGCTCCACCACAGCCACCGTCACCCGTCACAGCATTGACCAGACCAGACCAAACGCCTTCAACCGAGACACGGTGGTCTCCCTGTCTGAGGAGGACCATCCACACGTCCTCTCTCTGGACGAATGCCAGAAGTAAGTCTAGAGATTTGACTTCATCTTTGACATTTTTAAAGGAATTTTTTTTCTTCCTATGTCAAAGTGCTTTAGTTATCCTTAAAAGTATTTATTTCATGTGTGTGTGTGTGTCTATCTATCTATCTATCTATCTATCTATCTATCTGTCTATCTATATATATTAGATATATATAAGTAATTTATTTAAAAAATATATATATATATAAATATTTTTGTTAGTACAGATACACCTTTTTCACCGAAATGGAGCTGGTTGGCTATTATTTATTATTTCATGTTTTTCTTAAATGTCATTTTCATAACTAATTGCTTGTGCAATTAAATCTATACTTTGTTCAATGATAAAAAAAATAATAAAATAAGAAGTGATACTGTATTCTATCTATTTTGCAAGTCCAAAAAGTGAAGTGACATGACATGTGGCCAAGTATGGTGACCCATACTCGGAATTAGTGCTCTGCATTTATCCCATCCAAAGTGCACACACACAGCAGTGAACACACACACACCATGAACACACACCCGGAGCAGTGGGCAGCCATTTATGCTGCGGTGCCCGGGGAGCAGTTGGGGGCTCGGTGCCTTGCTCAAGGGCACCTCAGTCGTGGTATTGAAGGTGGGAGAGAGCGCTGTACATTCACTCCCCCCACCTACAATCCCTGCCGGTACGAGACTCGAACCCGCAACCTTTGGGTTATGAGACCGACTCTCTAACCATTAGGCCACAACTTCCCACAAAAGTAAAAATGTTTACTTTTCATTACAGTAAAATAAATCCATGTGTCTAAAATGGCAAAAGTTTCTGGATTCCACCTCACCTCAAAATAACCCTTGTTGATCAAATTTGTTTTGATGGCTGTCTTTCCAAAAGGTCAATTAAGGGAGGGGTCCTCTAATTATTTCAGAGTAATTAGGCGCGGGACCACATACAGAGTATTAATTTTACATCAGTGAGTTATGAGCTTCATAAAGATTCAAATTTGAAAACAGTGTGACCTGTGCTACAGAGATTTGCGGTATTAATCTCCAAACACATTCGCATCTCTTGATCTCTGTCAGCAGTTCCTTTCATTTTCAAATTAGAAAACATTAATTAAGTTTGACTTTTATGCATTTATTTATTATTTTTCTACTGCTGCTCTCCTGAACTGTTCATCATTGCCTTTTTGTGCGATCCACTGATTTTAGTGTCATCTAACGCAGTGCTTCTCAACTAGGTTTTACAGTAGCAAGCCATATAAAAGTGAAATAAAATGTATGTATTGAAGTAAATTTATTAATATTACTATAAACTGCTAAATTTCTAATACTTACCTGTAAACAAACATTTTGTGGTCAGCACAAACCATGTTTATCAAGTGAAACTATAGTTTTGTTAATGATTTTGGAGTTAGCATCTGCTAATCTGACTAGCATCTAGATGAACGCACAATTTTTGACATCCACAACAAAAGATATACGTTTTTGTCACTTGTAGAAGTTTATAACCATATATTTTATTATTTTTCATTCTTACATTTTTATTCTTTGTGTATTATATTTTTGTTCTTACTATGTGTTGCTATGCTAATTGTGGTTTATTTAGCATTTAGCATCCTTTAGCATTTAGATTTATGCTTTCTGGGATAAAAAAAAACTAATCTAATTAAAGTCTAATTGAGAACCACCTATCAAAAATTATATTGAGTCAATTTGAAATTATAAAAGATATCGTACTTTGTTTACTTTGATTTTGCCTTGGCAGTCTACATTTAAATTGACTTTAGCATTTTCCGCCATTTTATGCTAAATTATATTCAGTCAGTTTCTGTCAGACTTTCGACTGCACATTGCACGATTACACATTGCCTGATTGAAAATGTTGTGTATGGAAGCAAAATGACAGTTAGCGTTAGCGTTAGCCAAACTGTTAAAGGTAAACAATGCTATGCTAGTACTAGCTTGTGTTCTTCAGGTGTATTATTATAAACAGGATCGTTTATATGTTCACTAAACACAATTCTACAGACATTCTCTTCACTTTTTTAAGTAGGAAATCAGAAATTTAGACTTTGCATACCCTCATATTGCTCAATGGTTTAAAGTACAGTATGCTATCTTTTAGCTGTAGCATTAATATGGCTGTTTGTTCTCTAAGGAACATTTCACCGCTTCATACCCTGACAGCACTTAGTCGGATCATAGCAGGCTAGCGTTAGCCTGTTAGCGCATTAGCATGGCAATAAGTGGCTGCTGCTGTCAGCAAGACGTCCCAGCGATCCAAAAGCTGCCAAAGATCACAGCTAGGAGTCACACGCCGGCGATAGCAGCCGACACTGCAAGGTGCCGTCACATGCCAGGCTAGCACACTCGTCTCAAACACAAGGACATGCTTCGTCCTTCGACCAACGTCTTTTTCTGCGACATTAAAAGAAAAAGGCCTGATGCTATGAGGCTGTAGCCTTTTTAATTATAATTGCAGATGAATACATTTTTAATGAGGATATTAGCATAGTGCACGCAGCACCAAGGGTGTACATTTAGTTTTAAAAAGACTTTTAAGAACATTTTTATGTGGCATTCAAAGAAAACATTTACAGTATGTCTGAAATTTAACAGATTACAAAAAAACAATGTCTCAGAAAAGACATCAGTTCTGAGAAAAGCACTAGCATGATTTGTTTGCAGATGCCACTAAGTTTGATATTGTCTAATGTAATGACATTTAGACATTTGTAAGAGTTCTACGCAACTGATGGAATACACGTATGGAAATTCACCATACACACAAACAATTTTCTGCCATATATAACAAGAAGGGCTTTTTAACGTTAACTGAATCAAATTCAACATACATAGCAATGTGCAAAAATTCAACTAATCATGTAGTTATGAAAAGTGCTGTTTAAAATGTTTATTTAAGTCAATTATATAATAATAATAATAATAATAATAATAATCATCTCAACTGGTTAACTCTTATACTTTTAATCTTTAAAAATGCAAAAAAATAAAAATAACGCAACTGATCATATACTTATAAAAAGTCAAATTTTTGTCATATACAAATTTAAGAAAAACATAAAATAATAATAAATGTATTCATAAATAAAGTAAAGGCATTTTAATATATAAAAATATAATTTAAATAATGTATTTATATATAATAATATTCCCTACATCTTGGATGCCCTGTGGGTAAGCAGATAAACATCAAATTTTAATTTTTGGGTGAACTATCCCTTTAAGTGTATATATAATATATGCTTTTGATCATATTCATACTTAAGTTTCGATTCCTTTCTTTTTTTTAATGCACTTTTTAAATGTGAAATTTAAATGTGACTTTCAAAGAAGTCATGTATGCCTGAAATATGACTCAGAAAAGTGATATTAATTCTGGGGAAAGTGCTAGCATGAGTTAAGTTGGATATTGTGTAATGTAATGACATTTTTAAGGGTGATTCAAATGTCCAAGTCCTTTAGGACCAGAAATTTATGGTAAAAATCATTTGATGTGACAGCTAACAGTCTGCTTGCGTTCACCCAGCTTGATGTTCTGGACTAACTGGAACGAGCAGAAGCCGAGCATCATGAGGTCAACTTTAACCGGCCGGAACATCCGCATCATTGTTAGCATGGATGTCATCACCCCTAATGGACTCACCATCGACCACAAAGCTGAAAAGCTGTATTTTTCCGATGGCAGTCTCGGCTACATCGAGAGGTGTGATTACGATGGCTCGCACAGATACGTGAGTATGGAGCCGCTTTGTGTGTGACTTTTAAAAATTGCATGGAAGTGCATTAGCTGAATCGAAGGCTGTGTCTTAAGAGCACTGCAAACGGCTTTCAGCCTTTTGTGAAGCTTTTCTGTTTTGCTGAGGTGAAACATTGAAGGAGGACATAAAGAAATTTTGATCCCATCTACTGAATACAGGTCGCTTGGGTTCAGTACATTGTCACTTGAAACCAAAAATGTTCTCTTGCCAGGAGGACCAAATAAAAGGTCCTAACGCTGTTAAAAAATAACAGAACAGTTTTCTCATTGATCTTAGTTCTAGGTGACAGTGTCTTTTGAGTATTTCAGGTCATGAATTCACCTTCAGAATGCAGCAATGTCATGTTTCTCTCATATATAGTGAGTAAGACTGTCATTTTAACACATTCAATTAGTAAAAAGTGTTTTTTTAGAAAAAAAAAAAAACAATTATACATATCTGGCTATGAATTCCTTTTTCTAAAACACAAGTATGGTCTCACTTTTCATATATATATATATATATATACAGGTGCATCTCAATAAATTAGAATGTCGTGGAAAAGTTCATTTATTTCAGTAATTCAACTCAAATTGTGAAACTCGTGTATTAAATAAATTCAATGCACACAGACTGAAGTAGTTTAAGTCTTTGGTTCTTTTAATTGTGATGATTTTGGTTCACATTTAACAAAAACCCACCAATTCACTATCTCAACAAATTAGAATATGGTGACATGCCAATCAGCTAATCAACACAAAACGACCGCTAAAAAATGAACCCAGCAGTTGTTCACCTTCTGAGCCTTCGTCAGGGAAGTCGGACCATAGAGGACTATGTGGAGGACTTTTGGTCTAGTCTGTTCATGCCTCGTCTAGTCTGTTCATGCCTCGTCTAGTCTGTTCATGCCTCGTCTAGTCTGTTCATGCCTCGTCTAGTCTGTTCATGCCTCGTCTAGTCTGTTCATGCCTCGTCTAGTCTGTTCATGCCTCGTCTAGTCTGTTCATGCCTCGTCTAGTCTGTTCATGCCTCGTCAAGTCTGTTCATGCCTAGTCAAGTCAAGTCAAGTCTGTTCATGTCAAATCAAGTCTGTTCCTGTCAAGTCAAGTCTCGGATTATTGTTTGGATGTTTGAATCACTTGTAAATAAACTGCACTTGGGTTCTACGCTTGCCTTCAGTGGACTAATTCGTTACAGTAATAAGTAGGGCTATCAGTTTGACAAGTTAATTTAATAAAATTTATAATAATATGTCAATTTTATTTAATAAAATTGATTGTAAAGCTGATCATATACTTGAAAAAATCCTGTTTCTGTCATATAGTAAGTAGGGCTGTCAGTTTAACATGTTAATTTAATAAAATTAATTATAAAAAATTATGCACAAAAAATAACAACTGATCATACATGTATGAAAATTCCTGTTTCTGTCATATATGGTAAGTATAGGGCTGTCAGTTTAGTGTTAATGAAATTAATTAGAAAAATAATGCACAACAAAGTAACAACTGATGTGTATAATCATTTCTGTTTCTGTCATATATAATAAGTAGGGCTGTCAGTTTAACATGTTAATTTGATAAAATTCATTAGAAAAAAATGCACAAAAAAACCCCTATTGATCATACTTATGGAATTTCCACTATTAAGTAGGGCTGTCAGTTTAAACATTTAATTTAGTGAAACAAACATATTTATAACTCTACTCGAGGAACTATTATGTTTTAATTAATTGACAGACCTAAAAATAGGTTGTTATTAACTGCTAAAGTAAACCGATTTTAATGTTTGCTTTCACAAAGAGCCAGGAACAGCAGATTAGAGGGTTTGACACAGTTTATCATTTGACAACCGCCAACAATGCCGCGGCGCACTAAATGGGTTCTTGCTGGCTAATGAAACTACCTGCTCGCTTAGCTATTAGAAGGTGAAAATTGATCTGGGCGAACAAAAGGAACATTTGTTTTGTTGCGTGTCAGACAGATAGCAAGAGTAGCGAGGTGGGATCCTGTCAGAGCATGCTGGAGGAGGCAGTGCTATTTAGGTTACTTCTGACAGATTCAAACTCCAGCCTTTTCAAACTTCCCCTAGAGGAAAACACACAGAGCCACACATTCAAACTCCCAGGAGTTCAGAATTAATCATGCAAATTACACTCTAAAAAATGCTGGGTTAAATACAACCCAGTGCTGGGTAAAATAGGGACAAACCCAGCAATTGGGTTGTTTTGACCCAGCGGTTGGGTTAAATGTTTAACCCAACCTTCTGGGTAGTAACCCAACCGCTGGGTCAAAAATGCTAGCCAAGTTTTCGAATGTTGAGCAGCAAGCTCATTTACTGCTGATGTGAAAAGTAATTACTCCGTAGCAGATCTATACAGGTGGAGCTGGGGAAGGTGGAGGGTTTCTGAAGCGTGCTGCAACTGCTACAGCAAATGCTAGCCAAGTTTTCGAATGTTGAGTAGGAAGCTCATTGACTGCTGATGTGAAAAGTAACCAATAAGCTCAGCCATGTGAATGATGTATTTATATCACATTGAGTTAGAATCAGCCTGTGCCATCTACAGTTTCATGACATAACTTCGTATTAGTTTTACACTTCTACAACACACTGACTACCTTTGAAAAAATTTGTAAATTACGCAGAACATAATATAAAACTGTGAAACTGCAAATTTGAATTGAGGAAAACACTTCTCACAGTCAACTGCATTGAGCCTCATTTGAAAGTATTAACATTAGTGCAACGTTTCTACAACACATTCACTACTTTCTTTAAAGTAAGTGATAAATTATGCAGTAACATGATTACAAACTGAAAACTGCAAATATGAATTGACAACTACAAAGAAAAAATCCTCATTTGAAAGTGATAACATTACGATGACATCACTGTAACATTTCAACGCATTCACTATCTTTGAAGAAACTGATAAATTATGCAGTGCATAACATAAAAGTGCAAATCTGAATTGATGCAAATACTTTTCACAGTGAACTGTAAAGAGAAAAGCCTCATACGAAAGTAATAAATACATTTTCAACATATTCACTACTTTCTTTAAAGATATTAAATTATACAGTAACAGTTAAAAATTTAGAAATCTGAATTTGTTTAATCACTTTCCAACCACTATAATTATGTTGGGTGATCCAGGTAGCTCAGAAATCACAAACTTTATCTTTATGAAAGTAAACAGGGGCATATTTGATGTTTTGATGTTATTAAGAAAGTTGAATCTACACTCTAAAAAATGCTGGGTTAAATACAACCCAGTGCTGGGTAAAATAGGGACAAACCCAGCAATTGGGCTGTTTTGACCCAGCGGTTGGGTTAAATGTTTAACCCAACCTTCTGGGTAGTAACCCAACCGCTGGGTCAAAACAACCCAATTGCTGGGTTTGTCCCTATTTTACCCAGCACTGGGTTGTATTTAACCCAGCATTTTTTAGAGTGTAGATTCAACTTTCTTAATAACATCAAAACATCAAATATGCCCCTGTTTACTTTCATAAAGATAAAGTTTGTGATTTCTGAGCTACCTGGATCACCCAACATAATTATAGTGGTTGGAAAGTGATTAAACAAATTCAGATTTCTAAATTTTTAACTGTTACTGTATAATTTAATATCTTTAAAGAAAGTAGTGAATATGTTGAAAATGTATTTATTACTTTCGTATGAGGCTTTTCTCTTTACAGTTCACTGTGAAAAGTATTTGCATCAATTCAGATTTGCACTTTTATGTTATGCACTGCATAATTTATCAGTTTCTTCAAAGATAGTGAATGCGTTGAAATGTTACAGTGATGTCATCGTAATGTTATCACTTTCAAATGAGGATTTTTTCTTTGTAGTTGTCAATTCATATTTGCAGTTTTCAGTTTGTAATCATGTTACTGCATAATTTATCACTTACTTTAAAGAAAGTAGTGAATGTGTTGTAGAAACGTTGCACTAATGTTAATACTTTCAAATGAGGCTCAATGCAGTTGACTGTGAGAAGTGTTTTCCTCAATTCAAATTTGCAGTTTCACAGTTTTATATTATGTTCTGCGTAATTTACAAATTTTTTCAAAGGTAGTCAGTGTGTTGTAGAAGTGTAAAACTAATACGAAGTTATGTCATGAAACTGTAGATGGCACAGGCTGATTCTAACTCAATGTGATATAAATACATCATTCACATGGCTGAGCTTATTGGTTACTTTTCACATCAGCAGTCAATGAGCTTCCTACTCAACATTCGAAAACTTGGCTAGCATTTGCTGTAGCAGTTGCAGCACGCTTCAGAAACCCTCCACCTTCCCCAGCTCCACCTGTATAGATCTGCTACGGAGTAATTACTTTTCACATCAGCAGTAAATGAGCTTGCTGCTCAACATTCGAAAACTTGGCTAGCATTTGCTGTAGCAGTTGCAGCACACTTCTAAAACACTCCACCTTCCCCAGCTCCACCTGTATAGATCTCATATGGAGTAATTTCATGTATGTTTTTATATATATATATATATATATATAGATATATCTATATATCTATATATATATATATATAT